CGAACCCAGCGCCTGGGTTTGAGTCGAAGCCGCTGGGTTTTTTCGTTCTGTTTCTTTGTTGGCTTGCAGTCGTGCTTGAATGGGATTTAGAGTTTGGTGTGGTTTCTGATTGCTTGAATTTCCAGATCTAGTTGATGTTGATTGAAGGAATGTGGTGTTTTTTCCATTTTCCTTTGCAGATCTGATATACATTTGTAGAGGAATTGATTTTTTGAATCAGATTTATTGAGTTAGGAGGTTTGGGGAAGAAGTAGATGGTGATTGGAGTGGTAATAGATGATCGGAGCAATGAGGGATGACCGGAGGGATGACGGGAGGGATGACCGGAGAGATGGCCAGAGTAATGCGGGATGATCGGAGTAATGAAGGATGACGTGGATTAGTTATTTTCCACGTAATTAAAGATTTCAAACAAGAATTGATTTTGTGGCAACTTAACGTGCCATCTGTCATTTCCGTCAACGGAAGGACGAAATTGTTCCAAAAATTGAAGTTCAAGGATTTTTTTAGTACTTTTTGAAGTTCGAGGGTAGTTTTAGTTCAAAAATAAAAGTTGAGGGACTGAATCGGGGATATAACCAAAAAAAAACCCAAAATTGTATTCCCTTTCCCAATCCTATTCCACCTTGATCCTGTTGGTAAAAACAGAGGTTGAGGGAAGATAATACGGGTATTGATTAAAGAGGTGAAAGTGAGCTGAGTCATCTCGCCGAAGAGAGGCTACTTCTGTTGGGTTCTGTCTGTCGTGGGAGGAAGATGTTGCTGAAAAAGCAAGCGACCGAGTGGAAGAGAGGGACTGGAGCCCAAATCACAGGACTTGCCCTTCCTAATTTTACAATTACAGTTATATCCCAAAATCCAGATTCCATGATTATGAAATGATACCATCAAAATCCCATCTCAAAAATTCAAACTTCCCCTTCAGCCCGAAAATGTAAAGCAAAAATTTTTATGACTCTGCTAATGGGGAATCTCAAGAACAAAACTCTAAAGAGTGAAACTTGCATACCTTCACTTCCTTGAGATACCAACCGGCTCAAGGAAGTACATTAATACAGAAAGATTAACAGCTTGAACCTTCAAATATATTTTACAATAAAGAAAGACAAAATTACAAAGAACTTCAAACCCGAAGAGCACTTATTCAGGAAACATTAAATCAGAAGCTCCAAAACATCAACTCTGCAACTAGCTTCTTCTTTGAACAATTCTTCTGGCTTTCCTCATCTTCCTTCCACTTTGACTTCGTCGGCCATCAAACAAAGACACAAACCATTTTGGTTTTCCTGTTCGGAAGACATGATATCCCATCAGCAATCCAAAAACAACTCCACATCCATAGCCTAACACCACAACTCTCCAGCCAAATCTCCACAACTCATCTTTTTCTTGGAAGGAGCTCGGCGGTGTCCCACTTCCATCACAAGATTTTGACAATGGGATTCCACAGAGTCCAATGTTTCCTTCATAAGAACCATTTCCAAAGGTGTTGAATTGATTGCCCTGTGGTATGCGTCCGACAAGACGATTATTTGAAAGATTCAATACAGAAAGTTGTGTCAAAGATACCAATTCATCTGGAATTTTCCCCGCCAGCTTGTTGGAAGAGAGATCCAACCATTCCAGATTCGTCAAATTCCCTAGTGACGGTGGGATATGACCAGTAAGGTTGTTATGAGAAAGATTAAGCCCTTTGAGAGAACTAAGCTTTCCAATAACATCTGGAATTTCTCCCTCAAACATGTTATTTGAGAGATGAATACTACTGAATACGGTCAAGACTCCCTGCAGCTCATAGTCGAATCCCTTCCATGTCACAACCAGTGAATATTGATAAGAATTGGCTCTCGTTGACGCGTTCATGTATTCAGGGGAGCCATCCTCTCCATGAGTGTCCATCATTGCTTTAAAATTTTCCATGTACCGAAGAGGCAAAGGACCAAGAAAATCATTGCTGGAGAGGTCCAGGACTCGTAACTTGGGAAAAGATGGACTTTCTTTGGTGCTCTGCACAAAACCATGGAACTTGTTGGACCTTAAGACAAGCACTTGAAGGTCTGGTAGAGATTCCAACCAACTAGGGAATGTATCCTCTATGCTGTTGTTGCCAACGTCTAGAACCTCTAACTCACTACAATGTGCCAAAGACCTTGGTAATGGCCCGTCCATTTGATTTCCATGTAAGTTGAGATTTCGTAATCCACAGCCCTTTGGAAACCCAAAGGGTATATTTCCATCAAAGTAATTGGCTTGCAAATTCAACACTAAGAGAGAATTAGGAAGACAATTTGGAATCTTCCCGATTAAATTGTTATGAGAAAGATCAAGAATTTCGAGATCATGCTTTTCACATATCCATTCGGGAATATTTCCATGAATGTTATTTTTGGATAGCACTAGGCTTTGCAGAACATTTGAATGTCTTATGAAATTGGGGAATTCAGTCAAGTTACAAGAAGAAAAGGAAACATCAGTTAGTTTGGGTAATATGAAGTTGGCATTGACATTCATTCTCAAAGACAGATTATTGTCTGAAAGGAAGATGGTTTCTAGATTTTGAAGCACCGAGAACATGTCAAGTTCTACTAAATCACCAAAATGATTTGATGACAAATCTAGGTGTGTGAGTGAGTTTTGCTGGAATCGATTTATTTGACCTTGAAATTGGTTATGACTGAGATACAAGCGCTCTAAAAAAGGTAGGGTGAAAATCCAAGCTGGCAACATGCCATTAAGTAAGTTATAAGATAAGTCTAGATGCATTAGTTTGGAAAACCTAATAGTATGAAAAGGAATGGGACCAGAAAACTTATTATTTGAAAGGTAAAGAAAGCAAAGTTGTGTGAGGTTTTCAAGTGATGGTGGGATTCGTCCGCTAAGATTGTTAGAAAAAAGTAACAGTCCAGTAAGTTGCCTTAAGTTACCTATGGACGCTGGAATGGGACCAGAAAACTTATTCTTTGAAAGGTCAAGAAAGGTAAGTTGGGTGAGGATTGCAAGTGATGATGGGATTTGTCCGCTAAAATTGTTAGAATCAAGGTATACGGTAGTAAGTTGCCTTAAGTTACATATAGAAGCTAGAATGGGACCAGAAAACTGATTATTGGAAAGGTAAAGATAGATAAGTTGTGTGAGGTTTGCAAGTGATGTTGGGATTTGTCCGTTAAAATTGTTATAAGAGAGGAATAGGTAAGTGAGTTGAGATAAATTACCTATGGAAGCTGGAATGGAACCTTCCAAGTTGCAGCCAAGACTCAGAAACTGTAATGACTTTAGATCTCCTATAGACTCTGGCAATCGCCTTCCGCAAAAGAAACCATGTAAATACAACCGTTGGAGAGGACTGCTAAAATTGGAACTTGGAAGATCAATAGCAAAGGTTGCACTTTCACCTAAACTAAATCTCTTGAGATTTGGAAAGCGGAAAATACTGTTTGGAAAGTTTCCTCTTAACACACTCTCGTAAAGATCAAGAGCAGTCAATGAAGAAGAGAGATTCATGAAGAAACAAGGATTAACAGATGTCATGTTCACTCCACTAAGCTCAAGTTCTCTCACCTCACTCAAATTATGAACAAGATTTTTGAAGGTAGTTGTTTCAAGGATCAAGTCAGAAGAATCGTAATAATTAGACAGATTGAGAGAAACTAACTTGGGGAGTTGAGCAATTTCACCCGGAACTTGGCCCGAAAATAGAGAATAAGAGATATCAAGATGCTTTAGTCTCGTAAACTGACTGATTTCTGGTGGAATCTTGGAAAGCCTAAAATCATTCAAGGCAAGATTGAGGCTCTCTAGGTTTTTGAGGAGAAAAAGAGTGCTGTTGGAAGGAAAGGTGCCAGAAAGGTGACTGCAGCTGAGATCAAGGGCAATGACATGACCTGTGATATTATCACAGCTAACCCCATCCCAAGAACAGCAGTCTATACCTTCCTTCCATGACTCAATCTTAGAATAATTTTCCTCACAATGATGAACAGTGTAATCGATGGAGAAGGATGTCTTGAATTGCAGCAAAGCAAGAGCCTCCTCATGAGAGCAGAGATGCGTTGTTGAGAAGGAAGAAGCATGTATAGAGGAAGAGAAGGCAGTTTTAAGACAGAGGAAGACAAAAAGGAGGCAGAGTGGTGCAGAGAGCTTTGTGAAGATCCTCGTATCTTTGTTTGGCGCAATAGGGCTTAATTCAATTTTTAGTCTATTAACTATCACCTTGATTTCATTTTAGTCTAAAAACTATGTTTTATTTCTAAGTAGTCTATTAACTTTCAGATTCATTTCAATTTCATCTACCTGGTTATCTTTGACGGAAAACTTACTATTTTGTTAGAGAACAGTTAGTCCTCTAACTATATTTATTTTGATCTTTTAGTCTTTAAATTTATATTTACTATAAAAACAACTTTTATACTTAAAATTATTATTTTTAAGGTTTGATATCAAATTTTTAATTCTTCTTAGGGTATTTTCATTAATTGTTTCTATTTTTAAAATATTATTAGTTATTCATTAGTTAGTAGTAGTCTGAATTAAATTTTGAAAACTCGAATAAAAATCTGGTATCGGAGCCTAAAGATAATAATTTTAAGTATAAAAGCTGTTTTTATAACAAATATAAATTTGAGGACTAAAAGATCAAAATAAATATAGTTAGAGGACTAACTGTTCTCTAACAGAATTGTAAGTTTTCCGTCAAAGATAACCAGGTAGACGAAATTGAAATGAATCCGAAAGTTAATAGACCACTTAAAAATAAAACATAGTTTATAGACTAAAATGAAATCAAGGTGATAATTAATAGACTAAAAATTGAATTAACCCGGCGCAATAGAGTACTCAAGAAAAAGTATATATAGAGTATCTAAAATTGAGGGATGCTGATAATTTGAATATATTCCATCAAAATAAAAATAAATGAATATAGA